TGCTAGCTCTCTAGCAGCCATTAATAATACAACTAAAATTGGTGTAGGGGAAGCCTGAAAGGTTTGGCAGCCCCAAGGTGAGAGGGACTGGGATATTTCCCATTTGGAAACAAGTTTTCCAAGTAAACCTTTGGGTTTCTTCAGTCAGCAGCTACTGCAAAGCCCCTCCAAATAGGGTGCCAACAACCCCACAGATATGGTGAGACACAGCAAAGATGTGTGTGATAGCTGGGGACTGCAACATCCAGAAGAATCACCATGTTGTGGAAAAAGATCAAATTTGGTTTGGAAAGGCCTTGGTGACTTATGTCTAATCTATGTGAAGAATACACTGACAGAGTCTTACTTACTGCTTTGGTCCCTGTCCTCTTTAGTATTTATTGTTTTAAAATATGCTTTTTTGGCTGTGCCCTTTTCTCCCCATTTTGGTGAATACAGAATCCACACAAACAAGACTGGAAGCCAATTACAAGGGAAACATTAAAACCGACCATTTCCAAAGCTCCTAATTACTATATGTCAAGACACAGAAAATCCCCTAGGGAAATTACCTTTTTGATCCTTTGTTGCAATTATTTTATTTCAATCTGTTATTTTAACAGTAACAACAGGATAGATTTTTAGATAGTTTTAATAGCTTTCTTTCATACCGATTGATTCAATTATTGCAGAATTTATTGATCTTAGACATGATTGAATTTGATCTGTCGTTATGTATTTGGTATGTTGTATGTTTCAGAACACCAAACAATTAAAACTTATTTTTCCTGTTATAAGTTTTTGTTGTATTATCATTTATACATGGGAAGCATAGTTTACAGTTTGAAAGGTTTGTTAAAGCAGTTTCATTTTATAACCTGAGTTACTTGGCAGAATTAACAAGTTACTACTCTTGACATGGAGAAGCAGACAAAGAAATTGGTTGGTTTTCAATCAATATCTGATAAAAGAAAATGTGTTTTAACTGAAATAATTTTGTATTAGACTGTGCCTCCAAGAAGTATGAGAGTGATACAACTGAGTATCATCTGAAATTCAGTGTACCTGAATTAAAGTAGTTGTATTTTTCTGTATTCTTTGAATGTTCTTCAGAAAATTGCAGTGAAATATTTTTGCATGACAAGGATGAGTGAAGCTTAGCTATTAACCAACTATAGAGAATAAACAGGGCAAACAGGCAAACTAATGAATGAGGAAGTGATTGGATTAAAATATTTCCATAAAATATTTGTACTGTTTATACTTGTTAACTATTACTGTTAGTTACTGATAAAGAGCAGTTTTGATGTATGTGTAATATGTTTACTTGGAATAAATGACATGCTAATCAACTGTAGCTCTTCCTGTGAGCCAACTCAGGACTGATTCCACCTCCTCAGCTATTGTTGCCTTTATTGAACTATCTCCTGATTTATACCTTAGTATATAGGAAAAGAAATTGCTTCTCTTGATTATTTAAAACATTATGTCTACATATTTGTCTTAGAATCTACAGCCTCATTCAAGACCCATTGATGTCCTCCAAAGAGGTTCCCATTTATCTCAGCTGATACGCATTCAAGACATTAAGGAATTCCTGGTTGTCCGTTCACTATCCTGAAATTTTCAGGCTTTGGGTCAATGGTACAGCAAAGCTGGACTGAGGGCTTCTCTTGCATATGAGTTTATGTTGCCAAATGCTGATGTGGGACATAGTCATTCTGCCAGTTCATGTTTATTCAGTGCTTTTGAACACATTTTCTGACAGATTGCCTTTTAGCAGCAGGCTCATGCTGGGTCAGATATCCATGTTGCACCCATTTAACTTTATGCTCGATCAGATGTGGTCTGTACTCCTGCAGGTGGCTCAAAGTCAGCATAAGCTTCGTATCTTGTGCTCTGACTTAGGTCAACAGACGTGTGATTGCTCACACCTGATCCAGATCTAATTAGTGCTGCTCAGCGTGCAGGGCACAGATGAGGTATTAATGATGGTCTTTTGGCACATGTACGCCTGTATGAAACAGTGGGTAAAATGTTATGACTTTGCTTTTCATAGCAGTAGTCTTGTACTTTTACTCTTTTAATGGTGGGAGCTGATGATAGACTCTTTCTTGATAATCTCTCTCTCCCCACCACCCCAGCCTTTTAAATGGAAGAATTGTAATTTCTCCCCACAACAGCAAATGTTTATCAACGATAAAAAGAACAAAACCTTTTCCTTCCACTTCTGCATCAGACAAGTGCCCAGGCAAATGTTTATGAGGATCAGAGTCTTGCATTACTTTTGCCTGTCATCCCAGTAGTACAGTATCTCCAAAGTACTCTTTTTCTCTTTTCTTCCTTTCAGTGACCAGACCATCTTTGGCCTCCATCCTTACCCTTACACCAGAAATTCTCTTAGCTTTTCTCAGCATCACTGAGATGCTGCTTATGCACAGATAATAAAAGCAGACCCTATAATTGAAAGGGAAACCAGGATGTATTGAGGATGCAACATTCTGTATTTAGCAGACACTACTCCCTTTTTTGGTTTTGCTTTTTGGGATTTTTTTTTTTTCTGACATGTGGGTTCCAAGCAGCTCAGATTTAATCACGTATAAATAGCAATTTCACTGTATGCTTGCAGATTGTTACTTGAACCAACATATGGCCTGCCCCTAAATTAAAATCTTACAAGTGCACAGCCATTGATTTCCTGGATATGATAAAGTAGATGGTATTGTTACCACCAAAATTTGTTAGAAGTGGCTTATGAGTGAAGGGTATTGTGGTGTCATCCAGGGAAGAATCAGTATATATTTGGTACATTTTTGTGGTAGAGCTGCTTTTCTCAATGCTAAATAGTAGGCTTACATCTTATTAAGTAGTCAATATATATAGGCTCTACAAGCATTACAACTGTGCTTCAATGTCAAAACCAGCTGAATTTCTTATGTTATTATGGCATCCTTCCCTGTCTTTTATAGCCTTTGGTGCAGAAAGCCTTTGGTTCTACATACCAAAAACGCTTTTCTAAAAAACAGTTGACTGAACATGTTAATGTACACACATTTATAGGCACATTATGTGGTATTATGTATTTTATATGATGTGAATGTGTTATGTAAATTTTTAACTTCACCCTACCCAGCTTTTTGCCAAGAGGAGTAGTGTTCATATTATTACCAGGGGCAACTTACACTTTTTACCTAGTTTTTGCTGGCTGGTTCCATTTTAGCACTCTGTAACATTATAAAAGCAACTGCTGATTCAGCTTACTAGTGAGTTCAAAACACAAACTGCTTCGCAGGAAAGAAAATAATATGCGTCCTCTTATTCTTTTGATTTAATTGGGCATCTTTAGTGAGAGCAGACAGTAGTCCTACAAAGCTTAAAAGCTCTTTTCTGGTACCCACAATGGAGTTGAGTGCAGTACAAGGAATTCTTCTTTCATGTTTGTCCTTGGAAATTTCCAGTCCTGCTAGCTACATTTCAGGATGGGCTATTAAATGTTTTCTTCATTTGTCACCCTTGAGTTTTCAGCCAGATGCTGTATTCTTCACTTATGTTTCGAAGTAGTAGCAATGAATAAGTTGTTTTATTTAAAGGGCTGCCATATTTCATCCCAAGGAGTACATTTTGGTGGTGGATCATGCAATCAACTTGTAACATCTGTACATGAATTCACAAAGCATTTAGGATGCCAGTGGACTGAGAATCATGTATGTGCTCTTCACATGTGTGTGGTATTATTAGTCAAAGAGAATAGCTTGAAAAGAAGTCACAGACCTCTGAAACAGGAATAAAGATACCTATAAAAGCTATAAAAAGCTATAATTAGAAATTTCTAGGGTGAATTGCTAATTTTAAAGCAATTAATCCTATTTGATCTGGAGGAGATTGAAGGATTTGGATTTTTTTCTATGACTGTGAGGGCCATAAATGCCTTAATGTACTTCTATGTGAAGTTCACAACCCTTTTGAACATCCTTGAGAAAAAACTAATATGTGAGATGTACAACCAAGTCAAAAGCAGATTTAATTTAGAAAATGGTTTAAACTGAAGTACTTTTCACTAAGCTATCCTGCTTTGGGGAGTAGTCTGAACACAGGGAAGCAGCTAGAAATGTGAATCATCTAATTATTCATTTCCAACTGTGATGAGAATTTGCTAGATGTCTAACAACTTCCATATTAAGACCGACATTTTAACTTTTTCATCTGGATGTGTTTTAATGCAGGGGATCTCGTAAACCACCATTTGTGACCTAAATCAGAACACAAAGTGCACGGAGCATTTTGCAGATATGTCCCACTTGCCAGCTACCTCTGCAATCATCTTATGCTACTGTGTAATAGCCATCAGTTTGGAGTCATGGCAGCAGTGATTAAGAGCAGACTGTGGCCTTTTAAAGAAAGTCCAGAATGCTTCTCTGCTTGATCCATCTCAAATTCCTCTCCCCAGACCTCTGAGGAATGCTGGGGTCCAGCTGTAACTCTCTCCTGCCAGGGAAACTATGCAGCCTGTGTGACCTATTGCAGGAGTTGCAATTTGCATGCATGCCTGCAGTCCCCTTGCTTTTTGGATGGCTAATGGTAGGAACAGTGGAAGGGCTTGCAGTGGTTTGGAGCTGTGGGGTTTGGTAGGATTCAAGGCACGGTGGTATTCCTGCACACTCCTTGGGTTCTGTCTTCCCTCCTTCTTCAGAGAAAGGTACGCTTATGGCTTGGCTGGCTTTCAGCTGAGGGCTGCCCTTTTTTACCTGAACTCTTCCAGTTGTGTTTTTTCTGAGGTTCGTCCGTGATGCCTGTTCTTTAGTTTATGTACTTCAGCACGTTTTAAATATGCATAGTTTATTAATTCCCCTTTAGAATATTGCTTTTTATGTTTAGAGAAGTTTGCAAAATCCTTGTATTTGTCCCCTGTTTCATCTTCATCTGAAGATACTTTCTTCCAGCCACTTTCCCCACTTTGCCAAGCAATGCGAGTTCTGTGGGTTCATGGGAAATGAGTAGTAACATGCCTTGTTTATTTTTAGGAGGTCTTGGTTACGGACCCCAGTGCAAGTCCATTGGAAAAGGCAGCTGCAAGAATGTAATAGTCACCAGCAGTTCCATGACAGTTCAACAGCTGGGACCTGTTTCACCTCCTGCTAATCAGGTTTCAACAGCATGCAACCAGATCAGCCCTAGCTTACAGAGGTCTATGGATGCTTCCAGTCTGAGTGCTTCTCCGTCAGATACAAGGTCCTGAGTTACTTTTTTATATTCCGTACTTTGAAATGAGAATATTTTAATTGTCCTGTAATTTAAATACAGGGGCAGTGACCTGTCTTAAGCTAAGAGTGTTAGTTAGTGCCTGTCAAGTAGCACTAATGCCAGACCAAATAAACTGAAATGCCCTGCTAATGTCCCTCTCTCCTCATCAAATACCTTTGCTTTCAAATTGTTTAATTGTTTATATAATTAAGTTAATCAGATCAGTTGTTCCCAGTCTATGCTGACCCAACAGTTAACTTTATCTGTGTTAGACCGGTGTCTGTGAAAATTTCTCCATTTTCCTAGCTCTGGTGGGTATTTTAATAAAAACTATGGCCTCTCCCTATAAATATTGCCTTTTTCTATCACTAAACCACAGATAAGTATTTGTTGATTAATTTTTAAATGCTTAAAAACCAGTTGAGATTATGGCTATGAGCATTGTTGACAAATGTGAATGAAGGGAAAACAGTTACTTGACAACCTCCATGCAAATACATTAAGCACATCCCTGGATGTTACTTAAACATACAGTGAGAAAACATCCTGGTGTGTTATTTCAGAAGCTGTGTTCCCACTTTTGTAGATGTGACTCATGCAACAGTTGCCTACTGAGTTGAAATGTAACTTCTTATTTACAGGCCACAAGAGTCTTTATTCTCAAAACAGTTTACATTTTACTATATCTCTTTTATTACAAGCCAAGGAATATTCTTTAGACAATTAAAATTGGTATTATGCCCTGGAAGAAAACCTTGCTTTATGCTATTGTAAGATAGCTAGTGACAGATCTGCCACTTCACTTGTGAAGACTGAATCCCCTCGGACAATTTACAAAATTAATTATGCTTCCTATGTAAACACATAAGGGAAAACCATTCAGTGCTAAGATGATGACAAATGACAAATCTGCCTTTGAAGCAGGACAAAACAGATGATATAAAAATACCATTAAGTTGTTATTACTTAATAACTTTTAGGTGTGCCTGTATGGTTACAAACACTGTTTTTACATGAATGTGTGGTTGGGTGTACTATGTCAGTACTGGGTTATACATTTTTGTTTTTATTTTAAAGAAACATTTACTAAGGGCGAACTGAAGTTGAAACTCTGGCAGAATCAAGGCTCTAGTGTCACTAGAGTCTCTTTTAATGATTTATCAATGAAGACGTTATAAAATCAGTTTGTCACACAATGTCCAGTTCAGCAGTTTTGCCCTTGAATTGACTATTTTATAGGGCAAACCAAATTCAATGTCAAATTTTATTTCACAGATTGTTAAAAAGCTTTTTAATTGCTTCAGCAATAAACTGCATTTGCCTAAACTGGTTGCCAAAGCTGACTCCATAATCCTTCATGGGCTGAGTTCCTTCTCTGGATTGTATCTCTCAGGTGTCATGAACTGTGCTCTGGCAGCTCAATCCAGATTACTTGCTGAATTGACTGAAATGAAAATGACTTGTCCTGATTTTTACTGATGCAAGAAAGAAAAAAGCTGGCAAAATTGGAGTTTTGGTTCAGGGAACATCAGATTTTGGTATATAGACCATGAGGGATAAAATCTTCCCCATCTCTTTTGATAGTTTCCCTAAAAAGTTTTCAGAGTATTGAGTTATGCTGCCTCACACCAGATGTAATGCTGCCATTAACTTTGATGCAAGTCAGAAAAGGACTTAGGAAAGAGCAAAGGAATCCTGGCTAGTAAGACAGAAGACCATGCAAAAAGATAAGAAAACATAGTTTTCACTCTTCCATGTTCATGGTTAAGATTCTGGGTTATAGTTTGATACTGTGGCCTCTGTACATAGCGGGTGAATACAAAGTAATCGCAGGAATCTCTTGAATCTCTTGTGAATGTTCATAAAAGATCTGGTCTAAACTCAAGCTGGTTTGGATTACAGTAAACAGACGTGCCAATTAATACCATCTGAGAATCTGGCACAGTGGTATAGCTGGCCCTTCATTTTCATATTAGGTATATTTATTTTCCCTCAAGAAAACTACTTAGTCACAGTGTGGGCTGGGTTTTAAAGAAATTCTCTTTGTTTTGGGAGCAGGAATCTTTGTTACTTTTGAATTTAGAGACTTGAGTGAGAACCAAACTTCTTCAGATTATCTGGCTTTTACTTATTGTATACTGGAAATTCTGGGCCAGCTTTTTATTTTTGTCCTGTTGTGAGATTTTTAAAATGCAGTTTTTCTTCAGCTTCACTGATGGGTGTGTCCCTTTGTGTTAGGCATTAGTAACTTTTTGAATGACACTGATCCTACCATGTATCTGATTAAAATTCTTGATATTACAAAAGTAGACTAGTTAAATTGATGCATGATTTTTTTCCCCTACTTATAAAACAGAAAATAAAAATCTAAATAATCAAACTGGCAAACCCCCTCCCCCTATTTATATTTTACAGATATAAATATGTATATAGCCAAGCATGAATAAATCAAACCTTACTGATTTCTCTTGCTCTGTTGAAGACTGTGGATCTGTATTTGGGGCCACAGCATACTAATGTGATTTAACTGCCCTATAATGAACTGTGCTTTAACAAAGCCCTTTGATAACAGACCCAACAGCCTGAATAATTTTTTTTTTCACAAATAATTATCCCTTTAAATCTAAAACTTGCACAAGATTGACCTGACATAGCAATCCCATTTTTCTCATTTCTCTCAATGTAAATTGTATTCATCACGTTAATTGTTCTTTTCTTCAATGCTCTGGTTTGAAAGTGCCATTTAAACCCCGATGGAGTAATATAACCTCTATAACAGTACATTATACTGACATTCAATCTGAACAGGATGTTTTCTTACTCTGATACAGCAGATCAACCATCTGTAACAAAGAAAGCATCTTGAGCAAAGGGACATTTACCCATCTATCCCACAGGCCACCACAGCAAGGCTGGGTAATACTTAAAGCCACATTTTGACTGTTCATGAGCTGTCTCCCTCAACCTGTGCCAAACTTCCCCTCTAGACAAAAAGGGGCTGAGGGGCAGCCATGGTGCCCTGAGCACCAGTTCCCCTCCTCCAGCTCTTCAGTGATGACTGGGCTGTGTTCTTGCAGCACAATCCAGCCCTTAAACCCTTAAACTGGCTTTCCTTCTTCACGTTGGTTCACTCTCGAGAGCTGGAAAATGCTGTAATATTAAGTAGCAGGAAAAAACGAATCACTCAGGGAGTACTCATGTGGTGGGCAGAATAAGAGAACAAAGACATTGATTTTTCAGCTTTAACCAGCTAGAACTGAATGTGGAAAGCTATATAGATTTTTCTTGCCTGAATGACTTTATCTAGTGTTTCCATATATTCTTTCAACCTTGCTGATCTAATCAAAAGATAATCCACAGATCTCAGAGGTGAAAAGTTGATTTACCAAGCAAAATCATGGACATTTGGTAAATATTGCCATATTCACGGGGAATATCGCCAGAGCCGTTGTTTAGGATCTGTTCTTGCTCTCTTGGGTTGACTGATGTTTTAAATGAGATTCAGATCCACAGTTTTAGCCTACCACCAATTCTTAAATTAAGCAGTTTCACGTATCTCCACCAAAGCTGCAGTCACTGCAGCAGGGCCATGGTGCAGACGTACAATGCAACTATGAGCCTTACCAGATCTGTCCCATGGATCCTTTTTTCCTGAAGCAGTGTCTATAAGAAAACCTTGAACAACTCAGAAGCAACTGCAATATTGGTTACCCTGAGAGGACGTCAAAACTTGCTTCCCCACTAAAAAAAAAAGAAGCAAGTGAAATAGGTAGAAGTGCCTCCTCAAAGGTGCTTGCTGTAACTGTGTTTCAAGAAAGAGATGAGATTAGTTTTTATTAATTTTCTTTATGGTGCATACTTTTTCTTTTAGAAATTAGTTTGTAGCAATATAAACCATGCAGTAAAAGGTATAAATAACTGACTATAGGAATTTACCTTTGTAAATAAGAATACATTATTCTTTGCCTATGTAACAGTTCTTTTGGATTATTGCATTTAAATATTTCATATACAGTTTACTTAGAGCTTTAAGAAATATTTTTCAACACCTGTTATTTAACGTACTTATTAGTGCTTATCAGCTGTCTTTTTTTAAGTTAATTTGACCTCCTGAAGTCTGTATGATAGGAGGAACTGTTTTCTATCTTGGTTTTTATGTGAGAAGCTGAGAAGCAGTTGATCAACTTGACCACCTTAAAAAATGCATTTTAGATTTAGAAGAGAAACCAAATTTCCTATGTACTTGATCCATTGAAATTCTATGCTTCTGCAAAAGTGTATTATGAAAATAACAAACCTGGGAATTAACCCCAAAACATAAGATGCAGAGGCTTCTGTGTCTGTGAGATCGCTAGGTTTATCTAGACACATATGTACTATTGGAGACCCGTAAAAATAGAAAGTAATGTAGTGATAGCACCACTGGCTGCCAGGGATTCCAAGTCTGTCAAGGCGTGAACTGGAAACTTAAAGACATAAATCCACCTGGCCTCCACCCAGCATTTGCAGCCATGAATCAGGCATCCTGATGTCCTTGTATTTTCTTCTTATACCTTTCTGTAGAAAACAATATTTTTAAGAGCTTATGAGTTCTTTTTTTAAGCTACCTGTAGGACATTTGCAGCATAAACAAGTTTCATCATATTTCTGTGAAAAAACAAAGATAACAGCAAGATCACACTTCCGTGAAAAATTTTGATTGCTGACTTGAAGGCAGATACATCGTCAAATCAAAACTAAATAAACCCCTTCAACCAATTCTTCTACATTATTCATTTATTTTGTTTGTTTTGTGAAGTTAGATATTATCTGTATGTATAAACTTGAACTATTTCTGTAGAGAATACCATTTGTATGCATTACAATTGGCAAAGTCATTCGGGTTAAATATTTATTCTTTATTAATCAGTTTCTTCTTGTTCTTTGCCAGCAAAAATAATAGTAAAATCAAATCAATATGAGTTTCATACAAGGCAGGAGCATAATGCTTCACAAACCCAAACCTATTTACACCACAGCTGATGAAAAAATTTGCATTTATGTCTGCAGCGATGTACCAGGAACCTTTACAGCAACTTCTCTTCAAAATCTTGAAGTTTTAAAAGTTAGTTTCCCAAGTGGCCTTGTTATGTTATGTATTGTCTGTGTATGCCTGCTGGTACATTAACTGAGAGTGCTAAAGTTGAGTACCTAAAATTAGGGAGAACTTTTCTCACATACAGCCTTTCTTTAATTTTATATGTGCGTGAAGATAGAAGAACCAGTGCTGAATTGTCTAACTGCTTCCTTTATTGTGCCTTTATTCCAGGTTGCTCTTGTCACATGAATCTCTGGCCTCTACGACCTTAAGCTTGTCAGAAAGTCAGTCCACTTTGAGTGTTAAGCAAGAGTGGTCACACAGGTACAGGACACTTCCTTCTGTTCCTCCTGACCAAGATTTACAAAATGGCAGTGAGCTGGGGGACGTACTAGATTTTTCACCTGGAACATCTGTGTCCAGTAACTGCGTCTCTAACTCATTACAGCCTTACTTATATGGCATGGAAAATAAGCATTCCCCTTACTCTAGTCCTCGCCATTCCTCAGCCCGCTCCAAGAAGAGAGCACTCTCTCTGTCTCCTCTGTCTGACGGCATTGGGATTGACTTCAACACAATCATCCGTACATCCCCAACCTCTCTGGTGGCCTACATCAACAGCTCCAGGACATCACCAGCGAACATCTCCCCTCAGCCTGAGGTCTATGGACACTTTTTGGGAGTAAAAGGAAGCTGTATACCCCAAAATTGCTCTATTCCAACTGCCCAGAAAGGCCTCCTCATGGCTAATGGCAACGTCACCTTCCCAGGGTACGTTGAGAATGGGGCTGGTGAGTACCAGCGGATGCAGCAGCTGGAGCAAGCCAGCTTGCAGATGGCTGCCACAAGTAACATGGTGATCCAGCAGGGCATGCTGCCCGCAGGCAACCAGGCAGTGGGCATCCTGAAAAATGAACGGCTGGATGACTTCTCATGCCGTACGGTCGACATGCCTCCCCCACCCCTGCTGCCGCCGCCGCCTCCACAAGGGCCGCCCCCACCATACCATGCTCACCAGTACCAGCATCCACACAGCCTCCCCAGTCGCATTCACCCGCTGCCTGTGCTTCCTTCTGCCCCAGTCTCCCTGCTTGATGAAGACGGTGAGCTAGATGATTTCAATGGCAAGCATGGCTGTCGCTGGGTTGACTGCGGTGCACTGTATGACCAGCAAGAGGAACTTGTGCGGCACATAGAGAAGATCCATATCGACCAGAGGAAAGGAGAGGACTTCACTTGCTTCTGGGCAGGTTGCCCACGAAGGTACAAGCCATTTAATGCCCGTTATAAACTGCTGATTCACATGAGAGTCCACTCAGGAGAGAAGCCGAACAAATGCACAGTAAGTCTGAATTCTGTCTCTCTTACCAATAAAAGCCTCTCTATCCCTCATGAAAATATAGAGAAATTGTAATCTTGCCTTTGTTTTTCCAAGTTAATGGTGTGCTTTTTTAACTAGTCTGTGTGAATTAATGACTGCTCTATCTGTCCACCTAGACAGAAAGGAAAGGTATTCATGAATTTGATATGTACTGACAGATATGATTAGACAAAATTTTATTTTCTAATTTACAGACTTTTACTGTAGACTGCAAAAGTGACAGAGTAGACCTTCATAAAGCAAAACTTAAGTACCATCAGTACTTAAATACCTGCATGAAAGATACATATGGGAAAAGTGCTGCAGAATAAATGGCACAATTTATCCTGAAATATTCTTGCAACATGTTACTCTTTTTTGACTTGAGGAATTCTCAGGATCTTGCATAATGTTACCATGAGAAACTGAGAAGAGTTGGGTATTTTTTAAGGCAGTTGTTTGTTTCATTACTAACAAAAACCAGACCCACAGCCTTGTTTCCATGAATACAGTAGGCATAAAACACGTAACAATTTCTCTGTTCACAGATTCACAGTGAGTATTCAACCTCAAAGTCATGTTTTTCTTGCTGTTTTTCTTAGGGTCACTGCAAGTCAGTCTCACACAAATGTAATCACATGGGGTAACAATCTAGCCAGTAAACCCTGGAACCAATATTTGTTTAGAGTCCAGTGAACCATCTATAATCTCTGTAACTCAGATTCTTGATTGGCCTTATATATAGTCTGTATTTTGGATGATGATTAGCTTACCCTTACAAAGTGCTTATTTAGTGTCAGCAGAAAGCAGCCTCACCAATGCTGTTTCTAGTCCTCAGCATAATCTAACAAAGCAATGAGTATATAATTTCTAGGGATAACTGCTGATTATTATTCACTTTAAAAAAATGTTTGTTTATATGTTGTGAAATACAAATTAGTGCTAGGAGTCTCTTTCACTGTGTACCTAGCTGAATAATTTTCTTACCGTGATGTAGATTAACACTTCTGTTACTTCAAAGGGCCAATCTCCTTCAGGGAGAGTGGCTATCTTCCCAGATTTCTCTCTGGAATTTAAAGGACCCAGTAGAGATTGTGTCACAACACTAGAAAGACTCTTTATCCTTCCCTATTGTCACACCAGAGCCTGAACGGAGGCTTGCGCTCTCAATATTTTTTTAAAATTCCATAATATCCTCTTTTCTGCTCTTCAGATATATTGGATCAGCGTTCATCATTAATTTCAGTTCCTCCTCAGGGATTTCTTGTCGGTTTTGTGGGGAGAGAAAGAGAAAAAGAATTACTAGGAGTCAAGAAATTAATTTTTTAAGGGAGTAGCATGTGGAAAAAAAGAGATGGAGACAGACATCAGCAAAGTGAGGACAGACAACACAATGAAGACAGAGGTCAGGAATGGTGAAAGAGCACTGGAAAAAGAGTAATGCAAGTATCCAGGGTCTTTCTAGTGGGAGAATTATGATGAGAGGTCCAGTAAGACTGGGGAAAACATTGTGTTAGTAGCACTTTGTACCCTCCCTGCCTGTTCAGAAAGGATGCTCACAGTGACCTACGCAGGATTACGAGGTCCTTGAGGAGTCCTTAGCTTGGAAGGAATCACCATTCACTGATGATAAATATGTTAATTTCAAGTCGATAAAGTATTTCATATGATAACATTTTTGAGATTACTAAACCTAATCTAAAGTGTGTGCCAAGTCATGCAGTGTCACAAAAAATGAAAGGTGTCTATATTAGCTTCTCAAAGAGTGATTGCTTTCATATACATTATAAAGTGTGATTAATTTTACTGAACTTCAGCAAGTATTTCTGGATAGTGCCAAGAGGTTTGCATATCAGAAGCAGCATCCACATGCTTATCTTGCTTTCATGTTTAGCAGTGTAATGATATGTAGAAATATTCAGGGTCATATAATAACTCTCATAATGTGGGTGTAAATCTGGAACATAGGCCCCCTTTCTTGGGACAGGCATGCAGAAATGTCATTCTTTAGCAGGGTTTGAGTGAAACAGCTTGCCACTTTCTTCCTTTACCATTTCACAAATAGTGTGAATATAGAAAAATATATTTGGCTTTCTTATGCCAAGGGGCCATGGTCTGGAAGTCTCAGTATATTTAGTAAACTGTACTTCAGCCAGACTTCATTCCTTTCTCACTAAGCAGTAACATTTACAATCATATCAATAGCATTTAAGCTTTTAAACTGAGATTTTAAGTGAGGTATTAGGGAGAACACTTTGGGCAAGATGATTGTGAAGTATGATTTCTGTAGTTAACGAAAACCCAAAAGAAATCTGAAACTTTTCACCAAACCTGTATGAATTCAGGCATTTATATGATAAATCAAAACAATCCATTCATAATCTTTATTTGTCCACCTAAGGTCTTTCTAGAATTTATTTTCTGGTTCTACATGTAGGATGCCTCTTTCTCTAAAATCATTATAAAGTAAAAGTCAACATCCACTGCAATTTGCAGACTGTTAAGAGGCAGTCTAGTAGCCCAAACAGGGAAGGAAAAATGCCCAATACACAT